TGATCGCCACAGAACCTGCTTTTGATCAAAAACCGCCTCAGTCCGAAAACCCACCGAGCTACACTGGGATCCTCCGTGAGCTCCTGTAGGTACCCCTCCAAGTTCTCCTTGGGACACAGCATGACACGGCCCTACAGTCGCATCTAACGTGGTCCTGCCACCCAGAAACCCTGGTTGAGACGAATCTAGACTCCAGACAGGATTCTCGAATGGACTTCAGCCTAGGCCTACCTACAGAAACTGGAAACACCCAATTGTTGAACCAGCACGACTACCAATTCGGAGTAAAGAACATGGAAAAAAAGCCAAGTCTTGGAAAAGGTCTTTTCGAATCACTGCAAGAAAAGGACGACTTATGAGACATGCAAACACAGCACCGAGGGAACAAGCAAACAGCGCCGAGGGAACCGACAAGTCGTCGTTCTCGCCGAGGGAATCCTTCTCGGAATCGGTGTTCAATCCAAGCAAAATACTTCAAAAGAAAGAATTTAAAGAATCAAAACGTAAATAACTAAACACAACTATAAACAAACATGTATAATTGCATATGTAATCGGAATTTAAACAAAGATACAATATAATGTATATATACCATCATAAACCCGTGTGACCCCCAATATTTTTCAAGTTCTTTCGGCAGTACCGGCTCTTAATGCAAAAACCGTTGGTTTGTGCTGTCCTATGCTGTCCTTGTTTCGGTCCCAAATCTTCCAAGGCTCCATGTGCCAGTCGTGCAATTTGCGGTTTGGAGGCAGCATGGTTTTGACACCCGGGGGAGGCTTCGGCCAGCGACGTGTCTTGAAGGAGTTCGACGGCCTCAGGGCAAAAGGCAGCCAGCCGGGCTCGGCGCCCATGACTAATGGACCAGTGCGACACGAATGATCATCAAGCGTAAGGTCAATAGAATAGGTGCTTCAAAACTGTGTCCCATCAACAGAAAGTCTACTGTAACTTTGTATGAAAGGAGCGGTGTTTTATGACAGGAGAAACTAAGATAACAACTGCGCAGCCGAGGTGTCAATAGCACCCCGAATTGCAAACGAACCATGTGCAGGTTCTTTATGCTACTCTGGATAATACATATATACACTGCACAATCCCCACTAAACCGCATAAGGTAGTCAGGGCATACCCACGCTTCGAAACTCTCGGAATATTTAAAATAGCAAGGACTCAGCTGCCCGCGCATCGCGGTTCTTCTACAGCGTTGTGGTGGGGGAAAAACAGACATGTGGGGATGCATTAGAGTGGGCAGGTAGACTTGCCGATGGGTTTTGGATGGTTTTGGTCTATGTCTATGTGTCCCAAAATACCCAAGACTTTGGGCTTCTCCCTACTTAACACACACCAGTAAAACACACGGACCTGTCATCCGCCACATGGAGTCCGTGACGGTGTTCTGCAGCCAACAAACTGCATGAAAGTGACCCCACCACTTCAGCGGTTTCGGGGAGCTGGGAGAGTCCAACACCGCATGGGACGTTGGTGTTCTGACTACCCCAGCGCTTCGGACGTCTCTCGCACACCTGCGACTACTGGGAAAAAAAGAACTGTAGAAAGCTTCACAGACAACCGCCAGGTGTGTATCTGTTTCCACTGAGCACTTGTTCATCCCGGAATTGGGAGGGGACGATCATTTGGCGACACATTGGATGTCGCCGTTCTTCGTTCTGCGCTTCGAGGATGTCATTCCAATCCTGTCAGAGAGAGAGAGAGAGAGCAGGAAGGAGACAGGGAGACGGGGAGACGGGGAGAGAGAGAGAGAGAGAGCGAGGGAGCGAGGGTGAGAGACCAATCGAACCATCTGATGTCAATAATGGATGTGGGCGTTTTGCAATTTGCACGGTGTGTTTTCGATTCGTACCGGTACCATGATCCACTCCTGAAAATGGCCTGCAACCGGATGCAGGCTTCGGCCTCAGCCTGAACTACATAGAAAGAAACCAACTGGGCCAGTCCTTTCTGAAATGGAGGGAGCGCAAACGAAATGGAAAAAAAAACAAAAATGATTTGGCCATACATGGCCATCGAGTCCGACAAAACACCCTTCACTTTTCTTTAGAAAGGAGAAGAACTCCTCACTTCCCTTCTTTCAAAAAAAGGAACACTCCCCAGAACCCGCAAATCATCTCAACAGCTCAGATGCTCCAAGAGCTGCTCATCGAGGTCTACCACTTCTGTTCCCTTCATCATCCTGCAACAAGACGACCGACCACGGCGACCGAACCCGCCCGCGCACGCGCACCACGACCGGTAGGTCATGGGTGGTCTCGGCCTCCATGGACGTCCAGATGAGAAGGGCCCGGGCTCGGTGAGTGGCTTGGATCCGTCAAACCTGACCCCAATAACCGTTCAGCAAGGGTCCTCCCCCGGTTCAGCTGTTTAGATGACCAGCCCAACTGATGGTAGACTTGGTCGAACGGCAGGCCGTCATTCCACCGAAAATGTCCCCTGTGTGCGTAGAACTCACTCGCTCCTCTGGGATTGCTGCACCGGAGTCTGCAGCCGCAAGGAGTGGCTCCCGTGGAGATGAGCCCTCTGGCTCCCAGCGTCATCATGCCTCCGCGCCAGCGGGGCACCAAGTTGGAGGCTTGAAGCCTAATGTATGGAGATGGACGTCAGATAGAGATGACATGATACTACAGTACAGTGTATATATAAAGTATATCTGACTAATGTTCCATTACCATTACATGTCGGCGATTGTATCAACTGAACGGCCGTCTCCCGAACGGCTTCAGGCACGGCCCAGGCCCTGGGGAGTGAAACGTCAACATGTGCGTCCGGCAAGGCTGGCAACATATGCAAAAGCAGGCTGTGCTGTTCAAGGTAAGTTATGGCCTGTCTGATTTCGAGACCAGTAGCTGGGCGCGATGTCGAAACGACCCAGCAACCTACAGGTCTTTGTCCCTTTGTAGATTGGGCGTCCAGGCGTCGCGGGTGCCAGACCCAGGTGTCTGTGTTTGGAACACTTGTGCCCCGTATGATACATGCAGTGTCGTTGCACCTGTCACCGACTGCCGGATCGAGAGGTGAGTGAGAAATGGCACTCGTCTGTGGGGCCCCCAAGCTTGGGTGGGTTTTAGATGGACCCCCCATCTAAAAGGACATGGTCTTGGGGTCTTGGGGCAACTTGTGCCATGTCTCACCTCTCAATCCGACGGTCAATGGCACACCTACGAGTACTTTCTGCCTGATGTCCATCCCACTGGCATGCAGCAGAACAGACCTTGACAGCCTGCTATATCGTCTTATATGGCGCTCACGCAAATAGGAACCAGAAGCGTGCAGAAGTGCTCCCTAATAGTGTCTTTCAATCGCCCTCCGGTGGTGCTCACATGTTCCCCAAAGAAGCGAAGCCGAAAAAACCCAGGTCCATGTGGCTGTGTGGAACTCAACCTCCCAAACCGGTAGCTTGACATCCGTTGGTTGGCGGTTCCAAGGGGGTCTCTTCCCGAGTGTACATTCCGTACAGCTCGACCCTGGAGATTCTCCGCACTAAACCTGTGAGCCGACGGCCCAGTTGCGACGGTTTCGCCCTCTGCTCCTCGGACATCCTCACGATCCCAAAGCATGACACGTCGCGCGCGTGGAGATTAAGCGGTCGCGAACATCGCGCCGCTACAGCAATCACAAATGGAATTGATGTTCCGCAACGCACCAACGCAACCTCTCATCCTGAATGGTGTTAAATTCCCACTCGACCATCCATCCCAGGGCTTTGGTCCCAGCTTAAATTGGACTGGTGTGTTCCTTCACCAGACATCAGGCTTTGAAACGGTTTATTGTTACCCCGGGTGCACTCTGCTTGACCCACCGAGCCCCAAGAGAAGTCGTTCCAGGAACTTGCTCGGACCAGGCAGGGTCGGTCCAGCGGGTGGGTCGGACCCTTCGTCTCATCCTCTCGGTCACTTGGAGAACCATCCCCCCCGGTTCTGAACGGCCCAGTCGCGACGACGTCATCAAAATGGGTGCACTCAAAAAAAGATCTCGAGCTCCCAGAGAATTCCAAGACGCTGTACAAAAGGTCTCGACCAGTTCACTCATTAGGCCGGGAGGTCTCCCCAGGAAGTCGATGGCGCATGCTAGCGATGAAGAACGAATGGCCACAGCCAGAAAGCAGACGCGCTCGACCAAGGACTCCCCATGCAAATTCCCATGGCCCCCCCCTTACTCCGACCGAGGCTCGAGGAGACGAGCCGCTCCTTTTTGCACTCTCCTTGGCACGAAAACACCGTGAAGACCTGGAAATCAGCCTTGTTGCGAGATCCAAACATGGCAAAATATGTCAAGCAGTCAAACACCTATATAACTATATAATATATAATAGATTATAATAGTGTCAGAGGAGCAAAGCGTGCTAGGGCATCTGAGATAATTACAGGTGATACACTCTTGTTCACCAAGTGGGAGCACCCTCAGTCTTCAGTCTCAGTACACATCTGACAAGAGAGATACCATTTTACATTCATTGACCGATCCCTCACTACAGTACCTTTGTAGAAAAATACCTTTCATGCAGTTCATGACATCGCTGATGCCATGCGACGGACGGACACGGCAGAACCGCGGACACAGCAAGAATGCCTTCCAAGAGCTTCTTCGTCATCAACATCTATTGAGACAGGACAGGTGCAACGACATTTTTTACCAACAAGATCTATGGCTGGTTTGATTATATAACCAAAAAAGACTAAGCTGTCCAGCTTCTTCACCAAGCGTTTTGTCGATGGATCCCTGAATCTATCCATATCACTAGGTCATTCTTGCACAGACAGCCCATCTATGGGCCCATCACATGTTCCAGCCCAACCCCCCAGGTCCCCATGGCGCATGGGTGACTACAGTATAGTCGGTGTCTTTTGGGGGGCGGGTTGTCTCAGCCTCTCCCTCATTCGGCAGACACGGTCGACCGTGGCGTTGACCCCGGACCTGAAGACCCAAGAAAGACCGATGAACTCGTCCTCTTCCGAAGCGAAACCTTCAGGAAGCGAACTCTTTCATGGTGCCCTGGCAGCGTTTTCAGCATTCACCATCGACTCCAAATCCCCAGAATCTGCTTCACTCCCTGCAAAAAGGTCCCTCCAACAATGAACTTCATTGGGCTAGCAGCGCTGGAAAAACGGTGGTAAATGCTGACCCCCACCAAAAAAGTATATAACTTGGAGTCCCTCTTTCGATATGACTGGACCATGAACTCGTCTCCATCTTGCAGGGCTCCCAAGTTCATTGCATAAATGGCTCGTACTGGTGAATTGCTGGGCCTCTTTTCCTCGACGTCACCGATGTGGGTCTTTACTAGACATAAAGACACCACTGGCCTCACGCCACCCGCATCTCATTTCTCATCCAAGCTTCCTGTAGGAGCCGCAACAAAGTTCCGGTTTTTGGTTGTGCTGCTGGCACCACAGCCCATGGTTGTAGCGGCTGACACTGTACACGCAACGGGCATTAAACTACAAGCCAAAGAGCTGTGTGACGGTCTCCAAATCAAACGACGGAATCCCTCCAAACCAACAAATTCATCCGGCCTTTTTGAAGAATTTGAGGTCAGTTTCAGCCGCTCAAACTTGAAGTGCTGGCTCCAAAAGCGAGCTTCCAGCAGTAGAAGAGTGAGCTCCAAAAGTAAACACAATACCTGGAAATTCACCACCACCGACGAGACCACATGGGCACATGAATCACAGACCTCGAACTCTGCATGTGAACCAGGAGAACCATGTCCGAGAATCTCCAAACTAGCAAAGTCTTGAGAACCCAAAGAAAGATGTAAAATAATATTAGGTTTGTTCCACACCCCTGCAAGACATCCCAAAACAGCATGCATTTGTGCATTAATTCATTCATGCATGCATTCCATGTGTTCTGTCTTTCTTTCTTTATGTTCTTTTCTTTTCTGGTTTGATTGCTTTCGTTCTGTCTTTCTTTCTCTCTGTTCTGATCCCAAATAAAAGGCGATCAAATAGACCGGTCCACCCGACCGGAGCCGACACCCGTACGGTCGTCGACTCAAGGAACCGCTTCAACCATGCTTGGATCGGCATAAAATATGTGTATGGTAACCGAGGGATACCATAGATAGACATATTCCTTTTTTTTTTCCAGAACCTGAGTGACCCATATGTTGGATCACCGGATCATCCCAAATATGGTCTGTTCATGTCTGGGCTCTAGACGCTCTGGGCATAGTATATTTATATTATATGTACAATAAATGTAATAATTAGGATTAATTAGGCAAGCATATCTTGGGAGTTGTCCGACTCGATCCAAAACCCAGGTGCATGTCTTGACTCCCTCTAAAAGGTTCCGTGCCTTTTGGTGTCGCACGTACCGTCTCGCGTACCTCACGTGTGTTCTGGGCACTGGAAGACTTGCTCTTGCCATGTCGACCACGGCCCCTCAGAGACACAAGTTCCTCGAGCTCCGTCGACTCCTGAATGCCACGGCCTCCACGGCCTCCACGGCCTCCACGGCCTCCCGGAAACGAAGGATCTCCTCTGAACTTCCGTTTGAAGGGCATGCCCAGCTTCTCACAGTGAGCTTTGGACTCCTGATGCTCCTGCATTTGCTCCTTGGAAGTAAAGGCCTTAGAGCAAACAGCGCACCAAAACTGGAAGCCCGCCCACTGAGCCACCGTGGCATCGGTGAGGTGCCAAAAATGGCACTTGCCCGCAGGTCTCTTGCAGCCGCCCCTTTGATGAAAGTCTTTGCAACGAGGAATGTTCAAAGATGCGATCACCTCAGCCAGCTTCTTACTGTACGGACGGAGAGGCAGCTCTCTTAGAACTTGAGCTCGCTCGTCATGAGTGAGCTTGCTGGGATTCACGTGCAGGAATTTGCAGTCGTCAAACTTGCACCGGCCTTCGAAATAGCGGAAGCACACGGCGTTGCGGGCTGCCCGAGTCTTTCGCTTCTTTTTCTCCAACGATTGCTCCCCAACCTCTTGCACCTTCTTGCTTGACTTTGAAGCCTTTCTGACATCTTTCACTTTGGTCAACCGTGAGGATCGGGAGGGTTCAGCGACCTCTTGATCTTCATCAACATCGTCATCTGACTCATCTTCAGGATGCGCTTCCTCAGGATCTTCCTCAAGCTCTTCTTCCTCATCTTCCAGGGCGCCAATCTGCTCGTCCAGGTTGTTAAGTGAAACCATCAGAAGTTGGATGAGCAGCAATCCATGGCTATGCACTATGCACGACACTCAGCTACAATATGTTCTTTTGGGATGTTGTCCAGAGAAAACAATGTTGTTGCCAGTCCAGATGCCTTTGTGCTGATGGCGTCTGTCTCAGCTCAAAGCCTGATGACCCGCGTTGTGGAGGTTCGAACGTGGTTGTTTCATCAAAACGGATGCCTCAAGGACAGTCGCGGAAAACATGTTTCTCCTATCACCACCAGTTCTCACCTTTCTTAAGGAACACCAATTCCACCAGTTCCACCAGCCAGGTACTCAGATTCAGTAACCAGTGATGGTGCAGTAAGCATTACCTTGCTCCCTCATATGTGGGCTTCATATCGGCACCCATCACCCACCATCCATGATGTTCGCAGGCACAGAACAACGAGTTGAACGCCGTGTTTGCCATGTCCAGATCGGGGCGTGGGAATCGTGTACGTTGGGAATCAATGAGTCGTTTGATGGTTTTTGAGTTGTTTGCCCCCCGGGTTGTGCCCCAAGCCCCCAGTCTGAGAAAATGATAAAAGTCTGGCTGTCATAGTCTCTTGGAGGACGTTGTTCACAATGGTGAAGTGTTTACTGTTGACTTATGGAATGACCTTTGGACCCATATCTTCAACCACGTCTTCTCAACCTCCCATAACCTAGTACCTATGCGGGGTAGCGAAACCTGCGGCCAGCCGCCCGGCCTAGGTGTGACGTCCGTCGGCAGCTAGCCGTCTGACCCGGGTTTAAACGGTCCAAAGGAGTCATGGTCCTTTCGGTGGAGCGGAGACGCTACGGAGCTAAGCCGATCAGGCCGTTTTATGTCTTAGTCATACCACGGAGGTGGCGCCGCTCCGTTGGAATTCGGAACTTGGGAACTTCGGGTCATATACATGGATCCCCCCCGTGTGACTTGGTGTCCACTGATGTCCACTGAAAAGCTAGGGTGAGCTCCCCCCGCCACGTGAGTTCCCCTTCCAAACCGTCGGTCCACCGTCGGTGCCTGAGTGGAGGTTTGCAGCTCTCGAATGGTGGAGCCACCTGAGCTCTCGAATGGAGCCTGAGGTCTGTTCATCTTCGAGGTTCCGGAAGAGAGGTGATCAAAGAACCATCATGGACCTGCAGATCAAAGAATCAGGACCCAATAGAATGGGACGTATCATCCACCGATGTTTTTGGGTACCCATCCTGCTGGTTGTTGCCATTCCCATCATAGGGGGGGGTGAAATTAGAGAACTGGTTCCGTCCAATCCATGGGACTGAGTAGTTGGACGGGCCCACTTTTTCCACTCCATCTCGCTCCTAAAAAGTCGCTCCAGTCGCTGTGGTAGGCCGGAAGGGAATGTCTAAACAACTGCCTTTGTCACAACTGGGGATCCTCAACACATATATAGACTAATAGTCTATAGGTCTATAGGAATCTATTGGACTGACTATAATATAGGAATCCTTCTGGACTCAACGCTGCAGGCCCCGTTCTGAGGTCTGCCAGCAGGGCTGCCCTCCCCTGTAGTTTCCAATTTGTTGGGTGTGACTCAGTGCCGCGACTACTCAGTGACTCAGTGCCCTAGAGACGCAATCAATCCAAGAAAATGAGTACCTGCAGGTGTGCGCAAAAACACGTAAACACCTTCGAAGATCAACTGGCTTGCCGTTACTAGGAGGCATCAACTGGACACGGTCCAGTGAGATGGAATTACACCGTCGACAGTGTAACCCGTATGTATGGAAAATAGACGCCTATAGGTGTTCATAGGTGTTCCACCTGTGCTGCAAGCCAGTGGTTGTCTTCTTCTCCCCGCGAAAACCACCTCTTCCTGGGCACATTCCAAGGAAAGGTGTTCTTGGCCCTCCATCTCATGCCTGATCTTCCCAGTCCACAGGCCAATTTTCAGCCATCCACTCACCATCCCTCCCGTATCCACTCACCATCATCACCATCCCTCCCGCTGATGCGCGGCCTTTGCCGATGATCGCCCAGCCCGACTCGCGCGAGGGGAGCCGGATCACCGCGTGCTCTCGGTCCTCGGTCGATCGGTCCGATGCGGTCGGCACGTCGGCAGGTGGGTCGTTTGCACCGGTCGAGTTCATTCAGTCTAACAGACCGGTCTGACATATTCCAAATGTATTCAATGGAATTGATCCAAATTCCATCCACATATACAGAACTTTCACTGGATGGATGCTCCACTATCATCCCATTGATGTTGGGTTAACACGTCTCCCAGCCATCAGTGCACCAAACACATAGATCAAATGCTGCAGGCGGAACGCCAGTCTTCTTTGTTAAGTTCCCCCAGAATCTAGGAACCAAATGAATACAGGCGGAGGGAGCTTCCTTGAAGCAGCGTGAGCTATCCTGCGTCTTAGGTAGTGGTGTCCTGCCCAATAGTAGCTACTTTAGCCACCTCTTCCTCTATCTGCGGCCTTAACAAGATTAACAACCTCTGGTCCGATCAAGTCGAAAGAGTTGAGTAAAGGGTCGATTCAAGTCGAATAGACTCTCTCTCGGTCTGGTGTCTAATCTGTGTCGAATCGGTTCTTTGATGGGTTCAGAAAAAGGGAGAGCTCAGCACAGCGAGGACCGCGGAGGTCCAACCATTTGGGAGAGATATCTGGCCATCTGGGTCATCTAATGAGCTGTCTGAACATGGTGCAAATAATCTTGCGTTGTGCTTGTCAGTTATTCTATCTACCCATAGATCAGCCTGTGCAGTCGAAGACATACAGTAACGTGTAGTCGAGTCATTGTCGTTATGTGGGCCACTTGGGAAGCAGATTGCAGTGTCTCAATTCACAGTGCAACAACTCAACAAAAGCACACGGAGATCCCCGGAGATCCACGGAGATCCACGATATTGCGCCCCAACAACAGTAGATCCATCTCCGTCTGGATCACCACCGGTCCCCGCTCCACGGCCGGTCCCCACTCCACGTCGCGAGCTCCACCGATCACTCCCCCGCCATCGCAGAGAAGGCACCCAGCGCTGGAGCGAGTTCCGGATGCGGTTGCGCACCTGCTCCACAGACCTGTCGACGAACCGGGCCGAGTTCCCGTCCGGGCCGGTTCGGAGGTCGTCTTCGACCCAACGAAAGTGGAAGACCTGTGCAGTTGCACTCTCGTCCGACAAAGAAGTAAAGAAAGAAAGATATCGCAAACCTGAACCCTGCAAACGGTTTCAACAGGGCAACTGTTGCCAAATCATAAAACAACATAAACCAAGTACTACCAATAGAGCTTGAGTTAGAAGTCGCTATCCATGTGAACACGCTGAGTCACGCGGCTGTTCAGAGCCAGTCAACTTCGCCTCGGGTTGCCACACATCCACATTGTGGCTGCAGCCCGGTCCTCAGGGACAGAGTCCTATGCTATCCTCCAGAGAGGCTCCCAACCAGGGTACCGTCCTGCCACTGTGAAGGTGCTCCGGTCACATGAGGTGCTTAGAAGAGCATTTTGCTCCGCCACAGTGCTTTTCTGTCAACTGTGCTTTCTCCTGGTGTATGTGATTGGTACCTAGACGAGCGCGGCCTCTTCTCCTCTTCGGCTACAAAACTTCAGGCCGTGCAACAAGCAAATCCGGCTCAAAAGAATCACCCGCCAAAGAGAATCCTCTTCGCTTGGAGACTCAGCTTCAAGCACAATGAAACACACGACAAATCTGGAGACATGGCACAAAGTAAATCCAGTCCAGGCAATGTGTTCATGAATAGCAAAATAGATGTAAATATATAGCACGTCACAGCAGTCTAAGTTTGCCAACCTCTACCAACTCAAACATTCAAGCTCATGCTTCGCTCGTGTCGGCCACCGTCCCTGGGCGCCCCCGGGCGTCCCCGGGCCGCCCCGACCAGCGCAATGACGGCGCCGGCACTCTGAAGTCTCATGAGCTCCCGGTCATCGTCGCCCGCCACCCAATCCACCTGAGGCAACAAAGGAACAAAGGCTCCATGTCCTAACTTTAGGTTGGAGGCGGGTTTTGCTAGTGCAGGCCGTGCTATTAGATGGGGGTCCATAGAAACCACTCTCTACTTGGGGGGGTAACTTGTGCCATCTACTCAGTACTCTCAACCACTCTCTCGACCCATCTCAAGACAGGCATCCCTAAACCATGTCTTGCCGTGGTCAGATGAGCACTATGAGTGGGCTCCCTCCAGGATGAATCGACGGTTAGTTTCTCTGGGCACCTGAGCGAACTCGGTAGGGGGCCCTGATTCATGTCCTAAGGTTGGGTAGATAAATATATATATATAATATATATATATATATATATGGACCAGCTTGTTCAGTGCCTGACCTTTTTGGAGTCTCCAGTGAACCGTCTCGCAGACCCTTTTGCAGAACCGAAGCAACCAAGGAATCAACACTTGGTCGCCTTGAAGAACCAAAAGGTGCTACGGCCAGTTCACCTGGTTGAACATCCCACACACTCACACTGGGACCACTGGGACCACCTCGGTTCTCCTTCACCCTTGCCGAAGCGGGTACAGTAGGGGAAGGATATAGTATGATATAGTCTTCGTTGGAGTTCTCACTGGTCGCCATTCATTTGTGGGTGTCTGGGCCGCTCAAATGGAAGGCCCAAAAAGTGCCAACTGATTGCCGCCCGAAAGGGAAGAAGAGAGGGGGGGAAGAAGAGAGCGCGGTACCTGCCTATTGGTGGTACACGACCGGGGTGAAAAAAACCTTGGATCAACCAAGGTCGTAAAACTTGGGCGATTGGACCGCCCTAACAAAACTCAATTGGTGACCTCTTGCAGTGTCCTACGTCTTTCGGAGCTTCACCAAGGGCGTGGCGGATTCTGGCGGCAGCTCGATCGTGTCACACTCCTGCGCAGTTGTCGCATGTTCTGCAATGGAGGTCATGTGGTTCAGGTGCTGCGCTTGATCCTCAATCCAAAACCACACATCTTGTGGAGCCAGGGGGACAAAAAAGAGGCCTCGTATCCAAACCTTTTTAGGCGCCTGCCATGTCAGGAAGCGTCAGGAAGTGGGTGATATATCATGGATTATGTCTATCTGGCCCGTCGAAAACCCTCAAAAAGTCTCCAATAGTGGATGCCTGGATGCCATGTTACTGCTGTGACCAAGAATCAAAAAGGCGTCTGTGAAATCACAAGCCTTTCATGCTATTTCATGCTATTTCTATTTCACCGAATGTGCCAAATAAACTTCTGAACGTATCATGGGTCCTGCAGCACTGGACTTGTTGGCAGGAAAGCCAAGGATGCACGCATGAAGACACTAGCAGCCCCAGGTGGCTCCTTTTGGTCTGCACCTACAATGGACCTACGAGTTCTTCGTGATGATGACTGAAGGCTGTGTGGCGACTATATTGGACCTTTCTTCGATTCTTGTTTCTTTGTTTCTAACAGGCCTCCAACCTACCAGCGATGGCCTCCGACCCCTGAAAAAACTGAGTGCAAGGCCTGTGGAAAGTAGAAGTGTAAGATCTTTTGCAGCTCGGATTTTGCCTGTCTCACCTGCGCCACGAAGAGAGCTTGTGGGGTCACCACGACAACATCTACACAAGGGCCTGGGACAGAACATAGCGTTTTATAGCGACTTAGCGTACAAGGTTCCCTTTCTCCAGGCTTGGAGTGTGGCATAGTGCATGTGTACCCCATGTGTCAGCCGTTGCCAATTTGAGTGCCGTCATGATCTCCTATGCCATGCTGATCTCCCAGGATGCTAGGTAGCTGAGCTGACTGTACGGGCTGTGTACTAAAGAGTCAGACCTGGTAGACACAGAACGCGGCGTCTAACTTGTTCCTTGTAACGAACTAGGTTTCCGTGCTGCAAAATGCCAGACTCTTGAACGACCTCTAGTAGTTCACCCAGAAAAGGCCTCAAAGACCTCGTGGAAGGATTTACCCTCATAAACCCTCCGTTCTTCTTGTTTTGTTACTAGTAGCTTCTTGTTCCTAATGCCAGGAGCTACCTTCTGTTCGCGTCCGAACGCTCCGTTGGTCGCGATGCCCTTTGTTCCGAACCGGACGCCGTCCTCATCGGGGCCGCCACGGAAGTCTGCGCGATTGGAGCCCTCCGCGATGGTCACCTGGCAAGGAAAATGGATGCTTTTGGGATTGTGGAGGTATTGCCTTGTGATGTTTCTCGCTAACAATGAAGTTATATAACAGTTATATAAAATTTGTGAGTTACCTGCATAGGGGGTTCAATCAGGATTGCCTCTTGAACTGGGATTGAGAAATGAATCTCAAAGATGCCCTCTCACTTGCTGACAAAAATGCAAGAATCTGACTCCCTGGATCTCGTTGTCCGATGTCCGATCTGACTGTTTCTGCCTGGGCGCCGGTGTTCTGCATCAGAAAGCTCAAGTCTCTCTGGAAGTCTGAGTAAGCCTCCAAGCTGAGAACCATGAGCTTACTGAACGGAGATGCAGAACGGAGCAGCTCCGGAGCAACTCGGGTCAACACATCTTTGGATCTATTTGAGAAGTCGATGCGAAGCGGGACAAAGGATGCTAAGAAGATTGAAACATGGATGGAGAGAACCTGGAAACAAGGGAAAACTCTGAAAAAGGCCGCAAGGCCCATGGGGAAACACAGCACTCAAAAGACTCCCTGGTTCCAGGCGATTGTCCGAATGGAAGAACGCACCTTGGGCTGCATCTTCTGAAAGAGGCCTGGCCGCAGCCGCTGTCCGAGCGCCGACTCTCAGGTCTTCCGCTTGATGGCCCAAGTCATGGCGATCATGGGACAGTGTGAAACCATGTGAAACCCAAACCAAGAACCTTGGACCCCTTTGGACAGGACTGAGAATCGATGTGTGGTTGGTTTGAGCTGTACGTCAAACCTTGGGTTAGGGCCGTTAGGGTCAGGGATGATCTGTTGGACCCATGTCCGACCCTTTTTAGGGTCAGGGACTTCTCATCCCTCCTTCACCTTTCTCATCCCTCCCTCCTGCCCTTCGGTCCCTCCCTTCGTCCCGCGCCGGGCATCAGCGCCAGGAACTCCGCCCCCTCACCAGTGCTTCGACGCTCGATGAGAGCTTTCGCCTCCGTTCGGGGCGTGCGAAGGGTTCGGGGCGCGGGCGACAACGTGCGGAGCGTTGGAGCTTTTGGAAAGCGGATTTTGATGCTTGTGTCGGAGTTGAGGTCCTTCAATGGGCATACTCCCTACAAAATAACGCCTGTGCAAAGTCGGAGACTCTGGTCTGTTTGACCCTCGACCCTCGTCTGGACTCAAATATTGGTCCTCTCCAAACACCATGCCAAAATACTAAGCTCTGCAAAATACGTATGACCTACAACCCCTACATGTCATATCACAAGGCCATTACTTCGTTCATCCTCGCCTCCTGGATCGCACCAGATAGACCGGTCAAGCGGATGCCAGTGCCCTGGTCGTTCTTGCAGACCTGCAGTGTCAAAGATTTGGCAAAACCGATGGACGACCCTGGTTGACCTCAGAATAGACGACCTACAGGCGGTCAACCTGCCAGAGTGGCTAGGGCTCCGGGTGCCATTTTCGCCACAGCCATTGGGAACAGGTCCGGCCGGGCTCCACACGCCCGATCTCGGTTTTTTGGAAGGCCAACCTCTGCGGTTGAAAGAGTCCTTTCCGGTGACTGCCCGAAATTGGGACAGCTTCAAGACAGGCTGGGCTCACCAGACTGCTCTGTTTCTCCCTTCTTTGAAAAGCAGAGCTGGTATGAGTTGGTCATATCTGCTGAAATTCCTCTTGCTTGAATCAGAAGCCTCATACCATCACAAAAATACGAGATTCCACAGTTTTGTGGTGCGGCCTCTTCGTTTGCTGCACACGATCCATCTATCGATCTATCATCCATCCATCCATCCATCCATCCATCGATCGATCGATCGATCGATCTATCTATATTTATTTATTTATTTATGTATTTATGTATTTATTTTTTTTTGTTAGTTATTTATTTCTGTCTTTATTTCTTTCTTTCTTTCTTTCTTTCTTTCTTCTTTCTTTCTTTCTTTCTTTCTTTCCTTGCCTTGCCTTTCCTTTCCTTTCCTTTCCTTTCTTCATAGCACCAGCAGTCGCACCCCCGGTTCCTTGCGGCCAAAGGACGTTGGCGGTGAGGCCCGTTTGGTCCTGCAACTGCCTCAAGGCGCTGTCATTGATCACCTGATTCCTGAGCTCACAGAAGATTGCCATGCTGTGTGAAGCGTCATGTCAGTAGACATGCATCGACTGCATCGAATCAAGCAGCACTCAATTTGGCCAGAGAGCACGATATTGGCCGGCACAGTCACTGTGAGAGTATCCACAGTAGTGATGTCTTCCATCCTGAGCTTTTGGACCCTAGAATCAATCGATTTCGCAGGACTTTCACCATGAGGGTGCCAACCCGGTGAGAAAAGATGCCAGAGACCCCAAGTTTAAACATTAAAGCTAGCGGTCATTTGGGATCAGCTACCACATCTACCTTCTTCACATCTTGCAGACAGACTCGGACTCTGGACTCAGCATTTCAACTGCCCATCCTGACCGGCCTCTACTCTCTACCAGTGCAGTGGCCCACAGGTTTTGGACCTTTTGCCCCGGCCCTGTTTTTTGCTGAATAGCTCTTCTTCGATCTTCTCTTTGGCATCAATGGCCTCTTGCGACATCGGCCGAGTCGCCCACCATTTCTTGGAGTTTCGGTGTTCCTAAGCTCTTGGGCCGTAAAGAACCCCCTTTTGATCTCTTTTGTTGCCGAGCAGTGGAGTCAAGCCGAGGAGTTTTGCTTCCCTTTTGTTTGGGGGAGTCGAGCCCGCCAGTCCAATACCAGGACCCAATTCTGGCATCCGAGGTCCAAAGCCTCGCACCCAACACAACGTAGGTTACGGGCTCCAAGACCAGTCGAAAATGGAAGCACTTCGGACGGATTTGGGCCAAAGGTTCCTGACGGAGTTCAGTTCGTAGTGGTTTTAGGTCACCAATTCCAGTAAAATGAGGTCTTCGCCCTGTAGGGCATGGTGAATCCAGGAGCCATGCTTTACCGACTTGACCGACTTCCTAGAGCGAGGCTTATGGTATGCAAAAGGATTATATACAGTGATTACAGGAACTTGACTCATCACACCGGCGTCTTCATGCGCACCTCTGCCATTGTATCGAAGCGTTTCGTCCAGTTCTTGCAGGCTTGTTTCGGAACCCATCTGACAGATACCACCGTGTGCGGCTGCCCGACCGGACCCGAGACAGACAGGACCGGTGTTCAGAGCTGCTTCTGCACTCCTTTCGGAGCGCTGAACACCGGGGTCTGAAGCACCGGCGGCACCGGGGCACCAACCTATGACAGCCTTGGATCGGACTTTCGAAGGAGGATGCACCAATAGGTAGCGATGTGGGGGATCAGATTACACTCCCCCCCCCCGGTGATCAGTCATGCCGCCGAATAACTTATACCAAGGTTCTCAGCCGCAACAGCAGCTTGACCGTCTCAGCACCAGAAAGACCGTCTCATTTGGAATCAAAAGCTCCACAGGCTTCATCAATCTTTATGAAGCTTCATCCCCTCAGATTTGAAGAACAAAGATGACCCTGTCATACCCTGTCGGAGCATGTTTGTCACCAGAAAGTACCGCCCACGTCCAAAGTGCCTTCCACCCTCGCGCGGCCCCGTCTCGGCGGACCTTGTCGTGGTCATTGTCTTTGCTCCAGATCCGGGCTGAACGAGCATCGAGCCTGGGAGATTGAAGCCGTGGACCGTACGCCTGCTCCGAAACCAGGACGGCCATCGAAGAACACGAGAAAGCCACAGGTCCCAAGTACACCGCCCAAAAAACTGTGGAAACCTGCTGAATGAGTCTTTGCCTCGTCTTGCTTTCTACTTCTGTCTTGTTCTGTAGAATCTATGCTGAATCATCCGTCGGTGCTCCTCTTTCGCGTGGTTTCGGTCCCCGAGGGACCAAATGGTCCCCCGTCCACTGACTCACGGAGCAAGCAACTCGATGCGGACGTTCATGTCCTGCTCGATGCGGCCCTTGATCTTGGCCAAATGTCCCATGGACATTGGCTCGATGTTCCTTGGTGCCGTACGGAGCATGTTCCTCGGTGCCGTACGAAGTCCATGAACCGCTGAACGAACTGGGTTGAACCACTGAACCGCTGGGTTGGGGCATCCTTCTCCCCTGACACCAACCTGGAATGAGCATGTTGACCGTCTTGACTCTGACTCAGGAGCTAATCTTTCAACTCACTTGAAAATATATGAGTCAGAAGCATTAATATAGTTGAAAATATGTATGTTATATTATATATAATATATATATATATAATATATATATTATGAAATTGGTCTTGAGGAACTTCTTGAACGTCCAACCGCCAGCACCTCACGTTCATGGACACCGATGATCGGTGAGGTTTCAATGGGTCAGCAAATTTGGTAGCAGGTGGCACCCCAACCCCACCCAAACGATAGGGAAACGATGGGAAAACGGATGGAAAAACGGATGGAAAAGGCGGAGATGATGAAGAAATCCTCCCAGATCCATGATGGAGAAATCCTGACCCCCATCCAACTTTACTCAGCGAAGCATCTTGATGAGCACAGCTCCATCTAACTGAGCAAGAACATCTTTGGGTTCTTCACCCATCAACACGCCGTTGATGGCCTCCTTGCACCTGCTGGGATATAAACCCTCGCCATCAACGGAAGCCTCTTGACCATATAGATTGTTGTTTGGGGTCTGATAGGTCCTTCGAAAACACCCATGGGCCATCATGGGGGTGAAACAAGCGCTTTAGGTGTATCTACTCTAAAGCAAAGAATCCACCGTATTCTTTGCGCCGGTGTGTCTTGTACGCTGCGTACCGGCGTGTTGTAGCTGCGCTTTGCTGTAGAATGTCCCCTCCCAGAGCGGAATTCGACCTCTGCTGCCTTTCTCCGCCTCCGAATCCTTCCGAATCTTTTTCTTTGCCTCTTCCTTTCCATGCTTTTAGTTTTCCTAGTCTTCTCTCCGCTTCCTTTTCTTTGCCTCTTCCTTTGGAGCGGACCGCCTTCTCTTTTCATGGGACCTTTGAGCAGGGTCAAAACAAAACTCTGACTCCTTTGACGATGCTTCAATCACTAGCCTTCATGTTTGCTTCGCGTGCTGTGACTTGCTTCCATTTCCATCATTTGACTTGCTGGCATTTGCTTTCATTTCCTTTCAATGTTTTTGTGTCCTTTCATGTCCTCGCATGTCTTCATTCCTCTTCCTCGTTCCTTCTCCTCTTTCCTCCCTTTCCCCCTATGACTGACAGCACTTCCCATCGCTTGACCTGCAAACACCCGCCTGCGTGAGGCGGTAAAGGGCCAGGGACTAAAAATACCTCGAAAGTGAATCCTTGCCCATCCACCTTCCAAAATCTTCCAAAGGCGGGTAAAAGAGTGCACCAAGTACACCGTGGTCAACAATCGAACTCCTGTCTGTCACAACGTGGCCTGACCCTCCGCAGTATCGTGAATGAGCTGCTTCAGTCCGCGTTTGCATGAGTCTGTCCTGAACTTCAAAACCCAGACCATCCACATATGCAGTAGTTACTTACATTAGGATCATCTTCATGGGGCAAATGCATGTAACTCTTCCAGTCCCATGGATGGTCTGGGAACCATCAAAAGATCAAAGGACAAGTGACAAGCTTCGGCCCTGAAATATATATACTGTCCTGATCAGCACTATATCTGCTTTCCTTTGCCTACCCATGCTTCTGTTGGCCCTCTGCCCGACTGGAATTTAGATGAATTTATATAGTACAAACCGCTCTGCAACTCGCCTAGCAATCTGCTCCTTGGTGCCTTGGATGATGACCTTCCGCAGCGCAGGATCATCGTTGTCCCCTGGCAGGTCACTGTCATCAGGGTCTGTGCGGCAGATCTTCGACAGATTTTCACCAGCATCGGCCACGTAGCAAAACGCGTTCAGACTCGGCGTCGACGACTCGACGCTTGCGGTCTTTGTGGGTCTCCCACATCAAATGTCTTGGTGAGTGAGGATTAGTAAGCAGCCCGTCTCGACCAATACGATCATTTAGGGACAAGGGTTTTGGTATGCATCCACCCAATGTACTATTCAACATGACTCTTCATCCCTAGCCTGTAGATCACCAGTTAAATGGGGAGGTCTCGTTCAGATGGCACAACGGTTGCGTGGTAGGACCTCGAAACCCAGCCCAACACCGACCGACCGCAGCTCCGCAAAAGTAGAAAAACAGTCCTCGCTTGTTGGGCGTGATGATCTTGCACTTGGTGCCCTCCTGCAAAGGTTTGCTGGTGAGGTCAAAGAGTCCCAGCATCCTGGATCCTCCAAGTATTTTCTTTTATTTCACCAATGCTTCAGCTAAGTATCTACACTGGACCGGGATGGCTACCCGCTTGATGTCTTGCTGCCACCGGTCACCTGCAGCAAGTGTCTCACGTTGGTTGATGGCTGTTCTTTTTCAATATGGGAAAGCACCCTTAAAGGAAAAGAACAAAACAAGTACATAAGATATGTGAAGGGAATGTCATGCAAAACCGTTTGGGAAAAGAACTCAACTTTAATACAAACCCACAAACATGGCTGCCAAAGACAAGAATAACAAAGAAAACAGAAACCACCACAGGGTACCACTAGTCACCGGTGCCGGATAAAATGACGGGAAAAAAGAAAAGTGTATATGGGATTATATGTATGGGATTGAATTTTGGGGAGGACCTCCCAACCAATCGGTTTTGGTCTAATTTCTTTCCTTCTTCCAGCAGGTCGTCGCCTGGGAGGTCTCCCTATTTTAATACACATCCAATATAAACCTGATGCGTTCTGAATTGCCACCATGTTCACCGCCTTCACCGCCTTCTTCGCGTCCTTCATATGGGGGTTCCCGATTCGGTTCCGTCCTGCAGGTCGCGGATGTTGCAGCCCGCCCGGCCGATGATGCGGCCGATGTCGCGGTCGTCCACGTCCATCTCCTCCATCTCGCCACCCAGACCTGGGGCGCGGCCACCAGCGGACGAGAGTCGAGAGCGGTTGGTTTCTGGCTTTGGTTTCGCGCGCCGTGCGCGCTGGTCCGGGAAGCCGGATGGAAGGCCATGCTATAGGATTAGAATGATGGGATGAAGCTCCAATTGAGTCAACGTGGTCAGCAGAAATGCGAAGACCAAAAGAAACTCCAGGTACCAAGTCAAGAGAGAACCTGGATCGCTCGGTGAAGTGTTTCGCATCAGATCAACCATACAGGCTGAGTGTTCTTCACACTCGCTTGGTGTTCAAATCATCGCTGTCGCCACGACTGTTGGATTCTAGATATGGGTGTGTCGACAGGGAGACCCTCCTGGCGCTGGGTCGACGGGTGTCTTGGGGGCCCTTTTTCGATCGGAGCCATCGGTCGGAACGGATTGGAGGTACTGGGCTCCTGAGCTCCCAGATGGGGGTACAATGAGTCATTGGAAGTTCTGAAGTAGCAGTACATCCTTCCTGTCTGGGGTTGTCTCAGACTTCTACCAGCAGGAATCTGAGAAGCTGCAAGTGAATTACAATGAAGAGGCAAGGATTCTCGCAGGGGAATCAATTCTTCACCGGTGCCATCCCATCAACTTGTACCTACAGTACAAAGCTTGCTGTTCAAATGGCACATTTAAGGCATCTGTAGAAGCATTGACCCATAGAGTAATACATCGATGATTCCGCCAGCCCAACCACTTGCACAGCAAGACAATCTTCAGGTCTGCCATCTTTACGATTTGATGAGCTTTACATTTCTTGACTCATTGACCTCATGTTTGAATCATAGTACATTATAGTATATTATAGTACAAACCTCAAGGATCGAAGAAATTCCTGTTTCTATTCCCAATTTCTATGTGACATAGTCCTGGAATATCTTCTAAAATTGATGACCGGAGTCGACTTCAACCCCTCCATAGGACAAACCAAGTTGCCGTAGGACGAACCACCGTATTTGCCACCACCGCCATAGCCGTCGCCGCCCTTACCTCCGTATTTGCCACCACCCATTGCAGCAAAGGGAGAGTCAAAACAGGCGCATTGTAGATGTCAGGAGTATGTTAAGTTAGGTCAGTTGGGTTGGGTTCTTTCTCCAAAGTTCGGATGAAATCGTCTGGCAGGTGTCCAAACCAAAAAAATAGGCTGTACATGTTCCCGAACCAAAACCACGGAGGTCACCACCCGTCCCCTTTTGGCTGGCAGTTTTTTTGCTTTTACGCTTTTGGAGATGGTTTGTGGGTAAGTCAGTCTATCTCTCAGATTTATTCCGGTCTCACAAGTCTCACCCACGATGTTGGGTTTGCTACGGAATATGCCTTCGAAGCTGAGAAGCCATGCTGGTGGAGTTGGTTGGAGTTGGTTCATGCCAGTGGATCTTCAAGCCATGCCTTCAGCCACAGCTGCGAGTGAGATCACATGGGTGTTTCTCCCCAAGTCGAACCCGTGCGAGACTAGGAAACCAGTGTGAGCAATGCCCGCACTCAAAAACATAACAAAAACATGCACAAAGCCCCAGTGAGTGTAAGAACTCCAAGTGCAACGCCGCCCCACCGCACGTTTCCTCAATTCTTATCCGCCACACCTCGAAATGCGACACCGGTGCTTTACACTTACCGTAAGAACCCCTAGTAGCGTCTTTGCTCCTAGTAGCGATGCCAGGAGCCCCTAGTAGCTTCTTGTTCCTAGTAGTAAGGCCAGGAGCCCCTAGTAGCGTCTTTGCTCCGTTCGTGTGTCCACACTGTTTGGGGAATAAAAACCTTCCAAAGTCTGATGAAGAACAGACGCACCAAGGGTCGACGGACGAAAGGAGAGAGTTCCCTCGCTTCTGGCGTCGCTTTTCCATCGTTCGAGGAATCGGCGTCGCGTCCTGGCGCGCCGCGCTGGCGGCGCTCGAAACGGGTTGAGAGGCAGGTTAAAAAGCACCTGGTGGAAGCTTCAAAGCGATTGGAGATGTCCAAGTGCTATGACGGAATCCGGATTCATAATGATCTATCTTTGAAGCCAAGAACATGGGTAGATCACTTTGTCAGTGATACTCTGAACAGAAGCAGGCGAAAGAAAAGGTCATGTCATGCTGCACCGCTATTCTAAAACATACTGAAACAGTAGCTCCTCGGTGCTGGTGCGTGAAGCACCCAATTCGCCGCGGTTGGAACACTCGTTTCACCGCGTGTCCCCTGTAGTCACAGCGTTTCACCCCTGTGTCCATCCTCGTCCATCCGGCGGCGATAGGCGGAGATTGCTGAAGGGAGAGCCTGGACATGTCGGTGAAGCGGAATGATTTAGGCTATTTCATGGGACTGGCATATGCATTGATCAAGATCGTCCAGGTGGCAGTTGAACGCATTGTAGAGAGCTACCCTGATATGCGACTCGCATGGAACGGGCGATCAGACCTGATTAGGAATTCGAACCCTGCAAAGTCGCAGGCGTACCGCCTTTGGCTTGACCGAAAGAAAAAGGACTGGCATATATACCGGTGAATGGGAGTGGTTTGAGGGATCAATGTAGGCGTCTTCCAGTCCAAGCTATGGCTCAAGGAATCCTACAGAATGGTGAGCCAGAGCAATTGTAGTGAGCCAAACCGACCGTAGGGAAGTGAAGACTGACGGAGAATGGCTGAAGATGGGATGCTGAACATGGCGGACCGTGTCCGTCTCTTTGCCCAGTCGCAAGTGATCTAAATCTCTGTCGGAGAGGTCCCAAATGGTCGCAAGTTGTCTTAAGTTGTCTAAATCTTTGTCCCAATGGCCCAAAGGGGTGTGGAATGAAGGAATAGACCCCAAGGTTTCTATAGTGAAGGGTCATTCCCCTAGTCCTCTGCTAAGCAGCCTCCGGCTTCTGATAAAGGACCGCTGAGCTCAGCTGTCCTTACCGCCACTTCTGTCAAACCCACCGGTGCCGGTCCCCTCCTGGCCCACCGGTCCCGGCCTGGCCAGAATGGCCCAAGGCTTCGACCATGACCCACGTATTTAAGCCATCCAGCTCCAACCTGGCCAGCTGCTGGACACCGGTTGTTCACACCGGTTTTTCCGGGTGAAACGACTGGCAATGAAGGGTGAAGATATTTCTGGTCATCCAACCAGAAGTGAGTGGATGAAGCTATCAGCCATCCGGCGGCGGGTTCTGGGGTTCGAGCTGTGAGCTCTTGTGACACCGTGAACGCAGGACGGGTTCATCAAAGGGTTCCTGGGTGGAGGAAGAGCTCAATTTCAACAAGTTCACTCCTTGGGATCACCATGAGTGCCCAGCGATGAATTTCAACAACGAACAGGCGAAGGTCAATTCTGCCGCTGGACTCAAGTGGACTCTCCAAGTACAGTAAGTACTTTCAGCAGTGTTCGATTCACTATGGCTCAAGACATTCACATATTCGCTCGAGCCATGTAGCCCGTCTACTCAACTCATGGAGTCCACATATTCAACACAGAAAGAACCGACAGAAAGCAATCCAAAAGTCAAGCTGTGCCTGTCCAACGACTCCCGATAAAGAAAAACATGTTTTCAGTGGACACCCCCGCCGTTCACTGAGTTCGGTCTGGACTGGTTCGGTCCTCTACCACCGATGTCTCCCGAGACATCCGGACCCCAAACAAATCCGGCCACGGCCACGGCGTCGTTTTGGGGCTGGAAGCCGGGGGACCCGCCCAAAAAAAGGCTGCATGTGTATATATTATATACACAATATAAGTTCTAAACAACCATCAACATCCATCAACCCAAACCCCCCGAGTGAGGATTGGATTGGATCAAAGGAGCTTGCAAAAGAGCAAACACCGCCTTCCCGCGCTAGTGAACTTGAAACTTTGCATTTTGGACGATGGCAGGGTCTTGGGGACTAGAACAAAGCGACTCGAAAACCTATGCGCGTGCACCCCAAAAAACTCTCCCGGTGCCCGTGGGGCACCCTTGGCGCTGCAAGTGCTGCAGGAGCCAAAAAGTCTGTTGCCACGCCCCACCTGAGTTCTCTCCATCGCGAGGAAATACATATTTTGCGACCTAGAATCACCCTTCACACAGAACAGATGCCACTTGAACCATGGGGATTCAGCTTGGGTTTCATACTCCATGTTCAACCCAAGCTCCCAAATCTCCTCACTGCCAAAAAGAAGATGTTGATCGGGCAACATGGTGAGAGCCTCCAAGTTCTGGTGAAAAACCTGGGGGGAATTCGAGCGAAAGAGGAGCCAGGAATCCCCAGGCATCCGCCACCTGTGTGGGGATCCCACTCCGCCTCTATGTCGTCCGCGCGCATGGTCGCGCAAGGTCGCGGGACCTTCGTGGTTCTCGGGTTGGTTCTTCGACCCTTCGCGGTCTTTTTTCACATCTTTGACCCAGGAATTCTCCACTAAAACAAAGAAAACCAACATAAAACAACATCCCAACACACTGCACCCATCAGATCCAGACCGTGCTCGGCTCGGCTCCTCGTCCTCCCCGTCCGGTGGCTCGTTACGGCTCGGTCCTCGTCTCGCGGTACGTCTCGAGTGTCGGTACCGCGCCGTTTGCCCCACGAAGACGTGGAGGAGGAAAGACGATCTAACCCGGGAAGACCAGTTCTCCACGTTCTCCATGGTTTTTGGTGGAGTTGGGAGTCTAAAGCCTTGAGCCTTCGCAAACAAAATAAACCAAGAAAAGGGAAACCATGAGGTCCACAAAATGTGGCGGTCTTTCGGCAGCCAGGAAGCCTCTGCCTCCAACCTGGACAATACCGAGGTCCACCTGAACTCCGCATGTTCAAAAAAATAACGATACATTTGAAGAAAAGAAAATGAGAAAAACACATCAAACTGCCTCACCCGAAATGCGCATTGTCCGAGCCACTCTTGAAGCAAGCGCTGATGGTCACGTTGTAGCAAGCCATGTTGGGTTCCTGACGGACCACGGTGTACCGACGGCGCAGGTCCGGACGGCGACCTCCCCTCCGAAGGCACGGGGTAGACCAAACCCAACCCCTTTGGTAGTAGAATCCTTTGCTCCGTTCGCTTCGCGATGCCAGGAGCCCCTAATTCGGTTCGCGTCCGATCGCTCCGTTCGGTTCGTAAGGCCAGGAGCCTCGTTCGTAGTGTCCTTTGCTCCTGTTCAAAGCCGGAAGCTTCCATCTTGAAGGGCAAGATGTTCCGCCCTTCCTTGTCCATTTTGGCTGTCTGGAAAAGGACCCCCTTCAACAAAAATGGACATGTCACATGTCTTGAAATTTGATATCGCGTCTCCTTGCTATGGGAAAGAATTCCACAATCTGCCCTCTGGAAATGGTCAGATCGCCACACGTGCGGTTTCACAGGTCGTTTTCGTTGTTTTCGCAACGACATACCCTGCTGTGAAGTATACAGAGCATTGGCGTAGCCAAGTGTCAGATATGATACGCCTGCAATAGGACTCAGCACATCTTCAGCTGCATTTGTTGTGTTAGTGTGTGACAATTTGTGTGCACCGCGTTCAACATGGTGTGGCCTTGTCTTGTCTGTTGTTCTTGCTTGTTTTTGTTTCCACGGAGCATGTTTGCATGCAAACTCGATCAAAGTCACGATGGTGTTTCCTGGCTTTTGATGCACTAGCCCTGCAAGCACATATGCAGGACATTGCAAAAACAAATCAGCCGCCGCTCGCCCTTCCATCTGCACACAAACTGCTTGCACTGCTTCTCCAATCGGACCTTGCATCGTATGCTTACTTTGCATCTGCTGTCTCCATCGATGGCATCCCTGCTTCGTTCCTCATCTGCCACTGTTCTCAGACTCGCCGCTGTGGTCGTGCCACTGGGCTTCGAACCGAAGCACCACAGTTTCGGTCCGCAGTTTCAGCGCTGTTTCAGTCAGCGCCGTGAAACCGCCGCCATCATGTCGGCTCTGTGCAGCAGTCATGTGGCGAGCATCACATGCCGGCTCTTTTCATGAAACGACAAACAACCGTTTGGACCTCCCCTGAAGTCATCATGGTGGAAGTGGAGTGAGTGAAAACCACCTGTTTGGTCTTTAGACTTCATGGTCATCCGAAATCGAGGCCATCCACCTAACCATGGTTCCTATGTCCACACCTTCTTCCATTCGTCGGCTCAATCCGGTTCTCGTTTCTTCGTTCAATCCGGTTCTCTCCAGCAATACCCTCAAATATGTTCATATATTTTCGTGACAGCACGATCTCAGCTTTGTGATGTGTTGGTATCCACTATGCGGGCATAGCCGCAACCTAGGACCTAGACCTTAGGGTAGCATCATACATTTGACGTCCAAAAGTGACCGAAGCGGCCCTGTGTTCGGGACATCCGTGGAATTTACACAATAACTGCCTTCGTGACCTATGTCCACCCAATGCATGCCAGAAGCCGTCGGTCATTCTTCCTGGCCGATCGGTCCTGGCTCCGATCCAAGAGTTGCACCAGTAGCGAGAGGGCCTGGCGAACGAACGAAAAACCATCTGTCGAAGATGGTTGGAGTTGCTTGTAAATCCCCCACAAATCCCTGACCCTCGCTAGGTCTGACAAGACCGTGAGACCCAAACTACCGGTGCTTTGGGAGAGGTAGCTTTCTGGTCGGCACTACCGGTCAACCTGATGCACGGCACTACCGGCCAAAGTGGCGGGACGCCGGTGGCCATGTGCTGAACTGAAACGGATTGGAACAGTGTGGGACAACTGGAGAAACTCACCTGTCCATGGGACTGAAGGGACAACTGTTCGCCGGTCCGGTCAACACGGGTCGATTGGACCTCAGGGACCTCGGCTTTGCGGAGCAACTGGCTTCAGTTGGGACCGATCGAGGACAAGTTTGATGCTTCACATGATGCAGAGCATCTCCCTGCAATCCGGAAAGACCTCGTTGGGCAAGAAGGCAGAGATGTGGAGCCGTGTGCACAGATGGGGCATTCCTTCTAAGCCCGTGCCTGTCAACATGGTCTGCATCTCCCGTGCGCGAAAAAGCTCGTAGCTTCTTGTTCCTAGGTAGTAAGGCCAGGAGCCCCGTTCGTAGCGTCCGATCGCTCCGTTCGTAGCAATGCCAGGAGCCCCCGTTCGTAGCGAACCTTGTTCGGACGACTAGATGGACCGATGTCGGAGTTGATGTGCGACGCTGCTCACCTGAGACGAACCACAATGGGCCCATGAAGGCATGGAGCCATGGCTTCTGCCAGGTCGTGGCCTTTCCGGACCACTCGACCACTTGCGGAACGGCCCGGATCCTTTCGCCGAAGGGAATCTTTTGCTGAAACGATGGAAAGGAAGGATGATGCGGTGTTGATAAGGGCCTTCACTATCAATAGAATATTATGTGTTTAAATGTATACTAAGCAGTAAAGCTCACGACTGTACAAAGCGTCTACAATCTTCAAAGCTTCGAAACTCCGTTTCATGTCGTGACAAGCGTCCACGGTTTAAAAAGAACCCTCCGACCTCCGAAATGAGGCCTAGACTTCGACAACTCCACCAGCGGTCGACCGGACCGTCGCGGTTTTTCCAGGACCTGTTGAGGACCCCAACCTGTCGCCACTGCATGGACAGCTCACATGCTCCGATACTGGCAGCATGCGCTGGAACATCCGCGTCCTCACCTCAGTTTTCGGGATTCGTCGGACTCGCGGAAGACGCGAGTAGAATCGGGCGGTGAGACAAGCCGGAGCGGAGCTCGGGTGTGATGCAACTGGGTGAACTCGCGCGGAACGGAGGGCACACCCAATTCGTCCACAAAAACAGAAAGGAATGGGGAGCAAGACAGAGAAGATCGGAGAAGCAAGCGACCTGAGACTTCCGAGGGTCAGGAAGCTCGGAAGTTTATTCCATGCTTTTTTGGTGGGAGAAGGAGGGCCCAAGGAGGGCTGGATGTGTATGTGAGGAGGTATCATCCCTGCAGCGGTGTTGTATCTGACTGCATATCGTAAAGTGAGTAGGACTTCTGCCACAAGTCCCACTCAAGGCAGCTAACCTTGCCACTCAAGGACCTACCTATCCCTCTCGGCCCGGAGCAACTCAAGCATGTTTTGACATCTGCAGCTCAGACTGTTGGGCAGTGTTGTACTGGTCACAGAAGCCTTGATCCCCAGCAAGGTAAGTTGATCTCATTTTGGCTGTTCTTGCCTACAGCAACTCAATCAAAGCCTCTGTTCTTTCGCTTCAAAAAGTCCTGTGCTCTCCTGGGAGCGCAGGGAAGGCCAGGCCAGGTCAGTCGATACCAGATCCGAACGGCGCGGTCAGTCCTGGAGCAGTGTCCCGAAAGGAAGAGGACTTTGCAGGAGGACCAAGGACCTTGTGTTGGGACTTGGATGATTTGGATGTGTATAGAGTAGGGACACCATCTAAACATTAGTGGCAGTCGTGTGTGTATATATATAATATATAATGGATCTATATGGGCTCTCTTCAAGAAGGTCTTTGATCGACCTGTTTGTTCATCCAAACCCATTGACATGGCCGGGCGTTTTGGGGCGAGCGAAACCGGGCCGAGCGTTGCTCAAATTTTTCGAGCCTGAAATGTTCCCCTATATGGTCATCCCCTTGCCACCCGGAACCTAGGCCTCCAGGTCCCACACATCTTTTTTGCACCTTTGGCGGCACCACGCAGTTTTCTGCGGCTGCTGACCCTTTCCACCAACTTTGAGTGGTTTGACATCTGAAAGTCCAAAATCTGAATGCCCGACGCAGCGCGTTCGGCATTGACCAAGGAGGAGAAGCGCACCTGGTCGTACACTGGTTGTTTCGCTTGGATGGCGTCACAACTGGGCTTATAACGAATAGAGCGAGAGAGAGAGAGTGTGTGCCAGTGGGCCAGCGGAATTGCCAAAGAAATTCTCAACGGAACTGAAATGGTGGTATCTCCAAAAAGAGAGAGAGAGAGAGACCGCTGTTTTTTTTTCCAGATTGAAGCAGAAATCGTCTAAAGCTCGTTGTGTGTTCTCCCAGTTGGAGACACACCCCAAACACGGGAAATATTGTCTGTGAATCAAACACAACAGCACAACAAACTAAAGTTATATAAATAAGTACTTGGAGATTGGATGGTCATGGCCGCGCTTGGGTAGTTGAAATCTCTAGACTCTTAGATGTCCCGAGGAGACTCGTCAGATTTCTCTGGTCGGTGACTGGCACTGGTCTTCCTGGTGCGTAGCACTGGTCTGCCTCGTGGTCCTACCACAACGTCCTGAAAGTCTTTTAATCAGCGAGTGTGGATCAACCAAGGAAGTGCCACCCAAGTCATGTTTCAATCCTTGAGATGTTTTATCACACGTCGCACGAGGAAGGAGTAAATGATGGTTTTGCGTGCAACGAAGGCTGGTATGATTCTCACGTGGCCTTACCCCTGATGAGACTCAATTGGCCACGAATCCCAACGGTGGGAATGACCCTCAAACCATCTCAAACCTAGAAGCTCTCTAAGCTCACTGTGTCTGTCTGTATCTATACATAGCTACAGTAACTTGTTCAGCACCGTGCAACATTTGTTGTCTGTGCGTGTTTGCAGCATGCTGATCCTAACTCAATCAAAAAGAGTGGCCAAACACAGAACTCTAATTCATCTGACACTGCCTTGGCACACGGATCAAAAAGGCCATACATTGGAATGCTCCCAAGCGTTTCTAGGGGGTCCTCAGGCTCACCACTCATGCTTTTGAGGACACGATCCTTCGTCCCAAAAAGGACCTCCCAGCCCCCGAAAGGGTGTCAACGGTGGTCCATCTGTCCATCCGGAAACATCTTGCGATCCTCTTGCAAAGACCAGGGCCGAGGTCGTCTACTTCACGCTGACTGGTGACCCCTGCCTGTGTCATCCTGTTTCCCTGCTTCTTTGGTCCAGTCTGTAAGTAAGGGAACGCATGCCATGATCATGCCCCCCTTGCATATACAAACAACATCAGACTCATGTGAGCCTGTAACTCGAAAAAGTCCCTAACAAACCATGGTTGCAAATTATGGTATACGGTATTTGTATATATATATATACGCTTATAGATAGATATAGATATTGATATAGATATAGATAGTCCCTTTCCCTCCAAACATGTGAATCCCGCCACGAAGCGCTCAAGGCTCCCTGCCCCGCTCGGGCCTTCCGGTCGGGGAGGCCCTTCCCGTTCAACGTCACGCGCTCCACGTAGATGGCGCTGTTACTCTGCTGATCGGCCCGGATCACGAGCACGGGGCGGCCGGGAATCCAAAGCTTCGCCTCGGCCGAGCGAGATCGTCAGGTCGTCACGCAGACGTCAAATGCCGGATCGATCGTCATGGATCGTGTTTATAGTCGGAGGGTGGAGTGCTGTGTCCGAGGACTTTGCTTGGCTTTGGTTTGATCCCGGAGTCATGAAAGAGAAGGAGAGCTTGGCCGGGAAAGCACAACTCTTAGCAAAAAATGGCCATCCCCATGCTACTTGGGACCTTGTGGATTGTCGCGTCTGTGTTCACCCTACACAAACGTCAATCATAACTTCATAACCCACAAGGTTTCAACGAACAGAAGAGGAGGAAAGAGCAGGAGTTCCAAAGTGTGCTTGGAATCCAAATACTCACCTCTTAAATGGATCTTTTCTACCCGTTTGCCACCCAACAAAGTGAGCCTTTCTGAAACGACAGTGAGCCTTTCCTGTAAAATGTATATATTTATGTGACCTCCGCTACAACAATGCGCCGACACCGGGTGTCCGAAGTTGTTCGCTTGGCTCGCGCGTTGGCTATCTCGACGAAAAGGACAGAGGTCCTCACAAGAAGCTTTGAAGAAAGGTGGGGAGCCCCTAGCAGGTCCAGGCACCTGGTAGAACACTGGTAGCTTTCGATGCATGTGTCATCACCGTTGCAGCGAGCAGCAACTCCACCTCTGCGGTCCAGGCGCGTTCTTCACCTCTGGACTCCCGAGCACCAACTCGTCGCTCCCAGGCACCAGGCTGAAGAGCCCCAGAGACGAGAGCACCTTGGAGGAAGGGCCAGGCCGTGAAAAGGTCGGCCATCTCGCGGGGCATTCGCTTCCTAAGAAAGATAAAGGGTTTGGGTGGTTGATGATGGTTGATGGTGGTTGATGGTGGTTGATGGTGGTTGGGAGGATTCCAAATGATCGATGTGACCAGCATTTGGTTCATTGAGGCTCCAGGACTTCTCACTTGCGCAGCGCTTGGTGGGTTTCAGACTTCGACTCATCCGATTCCTCCTTGCCAGAAAATACCAAAGCCACGAACACTGAAGACCAATTCCAAAGAATTGTCGCTGCGATGCTTAATCCATTCCAATGAGACGATGATGCTTTAATCCATTTGGATGCGAATGCATCACCATCAGTGACCAACCATGCCAGGGAGTTCGCCAGGAGCCCCCAGGCCCGGTGCTCCTAAGAACCCCCCCAGAATTCTGGTCGTGGTCAAAACCGGAAAGCGCGCACCCGCCACACAGAACAGTCCTCCTGGTTACAACTTGGTTGAGATCAAATGTTCCTACCTAAGGATTCGCATAGTCTGTCCTGAGTCCTAAGTGCAGAAGGTATCCTGAAATGAGTGAGTGCTGGTCTACACCTTTGGATCCTTTTGGCTTGGCTCATGTTCTTGATTGATTCTTGTTTCAGGAGACATGTTCTGAAGACATACTGTGTCTTCCAGCATCTCTTCTTTGCGAGGTTTCCTCGGAACCCATGACAGCTGCTGTTGTCATTGCTGGAACCTCGAGCTATTTTCCACTGCCATGATTCAGATATTCAGAGCCTATGTCCCCTCACGTGGCTGATCAGTGCAGGTCTGAAATTTGTTTTAAAAATAAAAAAAAGAACGTCCGCTTCCTTCATCCTTCCTCTTCCAAGTCAGCCAAACACAGTGAGCTCTTCAAAAGACATCCAACATGCTCAGAATCCAAAGGTTTCACCAGGTCTCACGTCCGCCGTGCAGAGGCACATACCACGAGGACATTTCTCCGTTGTCCTCATCGCCGATCCAGCCCTGCAACGTGTAGAGCTCCTGGATCGGCGAAGGGAAGCGACAGGCCTCTCGTCCTTGACTTCGTTCATATGACTGAAAAGAGTCAAAGACATCTTGTTGGCAAACCCAACCAGAAGGAGCTCAAGCCCACATGTGTCTAGTGTGGATGAAAATAGCTTCCAGGTCGACACATGAGGTTGGCTGTCTCCTGGTCCGTTAATGGTGAATGTGGTAAAGAAGTCCCCCCCGAGTGTCCGATCCCTGTTGAAGAAGCCTCCGGTGGAGTATCTGTACAAAGATGTCTTGACAGGTGACCGACCAAGTATACACTTGGTTTTGGGCACCGTCAACCACAAACCTCTGGCAGAAAAGGGGTCTCAAAAAAGGAGCCGAACGGCTAGCGAAAAGCAACGTCCCAACTCCACCGGTGCAAAACCCCCCACGCACCCGGCAGCCCTGCACCCTTGAGGTCTTTTCAAGCCCACCCTTCAAGAGGTCTCTACTATTCTGAACTTCTCTACTGAGCTCCAACCATCCCTTTTGCGGAACGATGACCGCGCTCCCTCCTTCATCACTTGTCGGAGCCTCCGCTCCGCGAAGGATCGGCAACCAGCTAGCTGCGCCACGTAGAGAACGTGGTGCACTGGCCTGAGGCGGGGTAGCGGGGT